TTACACAAATTCACTCTTGTATTTAAGGAAGATTGCCCTGTTTTGGGAACAGTTTTCATTCTCTGGCTTTGCTGTTGCTCTCTTGTTGATAAATTCTCTTTCTGTAATAAGATGTGTATCTGTTGTCCCTTTTATCAGTTGCCCCCACCGTGCCTATGATGATAGGTCCATCTAGGGGTTTGGAGGCTGTTTCTTTGTTGTTCCCCCCCAAAGTCCCAGTGCATGGTTGTATACGCTAGTTCTAAGTCCTTCTAGTTCTTCTATGTGAGCCACTGCCACAAGCATGGCAACTGACAGACGGGTAGTGTGATTCCACGACCGGGAACCGAATCCAGGCCACCAAAGCAGTGAGAGCGCCACACTTTAACCACTAGACTTTCAGGGATGGCTCTCTTTTGTCTTTTTAATAAAGGCAGGTGAGTCAGTCACTTGATTCAAAATTGGTTCTTGTTTTTAAGGACTACCAAGTACAGATTTATTTCAAACATTCACATGTACAGAATTATCTGGGAAAACTCCTGGGGAGAAATTTGCTTTTTTTTAAGTGCTAGCTTTGGCACTTAGAAATCCAACAAAAAGCACTAGACAAGATGTCTCTCTTGGGATATGTCCTACTTCTTCTAAACCTACCATTGGGCCCGTGAAATACTTTGAACTGCTCAGAACAAAAATGTAATACAAACACCAGGTAGTCATAGTGTCATTAATTTTCCTGTTTTTGCAGCTGGAAACTAGAAGTTTGGGATGAGGTTCAGCTGAGGTTCCCTGATTGGAAATGAGTTACCAAACTAGGCTGTTCTAAAACACATCAAAGTGTGTTAGGCAAGGTGACAAACTCATAACAATGATCTTATGGAATAATATAATAATTAACAGTGTAAGTATAAAATATTAAAAAATAATATGATTTTCCTAGTTTGCTATCTTTCTGCTTACCTGTGATGGAGTGTGCAAAAGTTAGGCCTTTGGAATCTAAAAACCCAATTAAGATTCAAGAATCTCCTGCCTTCTGTGGTAAACAGAAATCAGCCTACTGAGTTGAGAGACAGTGCATGTACAAAAGTTGTGTAACCATGAGGACATGACATGCCACACTTGGCTTCCTGATCCAATTGTCAAAGAACCTGACAAACCGCTGTGTTTATGTCCGTTTCACCTTTGCGGGTCCATCTGGAGCTGGTGTAAATAAGTGATTGATAGCATACATCCTGCAGCCAAGTGTGGCCAGATTGAATATAGCTCGGCCACTAACTATTTGTATGTACTTCAGTTCCTATGTGTAACTCAAGGCCTCAGTTTTTTCATCTATGAAATGGGAATAAAGATATTACTTATATCAGATGATTTTTAAGATTACACAATGTTCAGTGCTCACTGAACATTGGTTGTTATTACAAGGTCATTAAAGAATGTAAAACTTCCTAACAGGAAAAGATGATGTACACAGAACTTTCCAGAAAAGCATATGTATTGTATTGCCTTGAAAGGTCATAGATAGCAACCCATCATCTTGCAGGCATTTATAAATGTTACGCGTTTAATGTATATTGTTGTTTAAGGATAATGATCAGTAATTCAGGAGGAAACCTGAGGCATGTGTGGCATACCTCTATGTGGCTTATTATGCGATCAGTGGTCACTGGGCTCAGGGTTGAGAGAAACTCCTCTTCTCCTGGTCGGTTAGACTTTTGGCCTCTTGTTTATCATTTGCCCCAAAGCTCTTGGTGCTCAGTGTTCCTGTGCTTGGAGGTGAGATGGGTCTTAGTTTTCAGAGGCCAGTGAGGTGTTGGTCCAGGGTATTTGGCAGAAGGGGTACATTTTAGGGGGTCCCTACATGACTGCCGTGCACTGTGGAGTTCCAGCCCCAGACACTAACTCAGCTTTCCCTTCTCTGCTTACGCTCTGTATATGGTTTGCCAGATGTTTGATAGTTTGACTTCTTCACTTGTACATCATCCCAGTGAGCAAAAATACAAACAGGTCATAAAATGTGACTCAGACGTCCCCATAAATAAAAGTCCTCCAGGATGCTACAAATTAACCTACGGCTGTTTCCTGAGCTAGTTAGTAACGCTCCCACAGGTAGAAACATCACCGATTCAATACCCACCTCATTTTATTTTGGTGAAACTCGGGAAATTTTGAAATTAAATCATTTCTGAAGTTGTGCGTTATCAAAGGTCAGAGTAAAATTATCTGAATGCCTCCTCCTTTCCACATGTAGTTCCAATTTCCTGAAGCCAGTTTCTTCCTCCTAATTGCTCCTAAGTACTCCAAGAAGAACTAGTTTTTGCAACTAACTCAGCATGAGAGCAAGTAACTCTCATTTCCTCAGGCTGAGTTGGATGCAGGCTTCCTGAGTCTGCCTGTGTACAACTTAAGGTACCAGGTAAATGTTCTCTATTCTGTTATTATTATTATATTTTTAGTGCTAAGGTTCACTAGAGAAACGGTCTCCCAGTGGTCAGAAGTTTGTGCTAGATATTTCTGAAGGAATCTTGCCCTGGTGATAGATAATATGGGAAACTCGTTTCATTTCTTGTCTATTTTTCCCCTAAAGGGTAACATTTCAAAAGCGAAAGTTTTAACTGTGTGTTAAATGTTATTTTAAAAAGCACTAGGTTGATTTAGACATATTTATCAAATCTTAGTGTACTTTTAGATATCTCACTGTTTGCTCATGAAAAAATAAAAACATGTATGTTCGTTCGAGAGGATTCCGCTTTACCCTAAAGAAGTGGCTGGAGTGTCTTTCCCCACTGAGTTTTTCTGTGGTTGCTTTTGCCCCTCACTCAAAAAACTACACTGGGAAAGAGAAAAGAGATTCGATTCACATCTTAGGCAGGGCTAGAACGTCTGTGTTGAAACTAGCATTCAGAATTATCCCTTGACTCGTCTCCTAATTTTCCTGACCGTACTGCATAGAGTTTACTGAATTATTATGTGGATTCAGTATTAGTCAGCAAAGGGCCAAATCATGCTATTTGTCTTAGAAGCGAAACTTCCCTGCTTCCTGGGATCCATCACACAACCTCTCTCCCTTGCTTTAGAGTTTCGTGCCTTCTCAGAAATTGGTTCCTAACGAGTGTTGTGTCAAAACAAAAATAATTCTGTTTTCATGTTTTTCAAATTTTGCTTGGGTTTTAATTCCCTTAGTATAAGTTCTTTTGTGAATGCAATCTTACGAAATAGTTTACATCCTATCTTGCCCCCTCTGAGAACTTTGAAAATGGCACTAATCTCTCTCCTCTTATTTTTAATCTGAGGGCATAACAACAAGGAATCAGAACTCGATAGTACTTTTCTCCCCATCTCCTTCAATTTCAAGCTGCCGAATACTTGGTGGGGCTCGTAATTTCGTAAAAGGTTGTACTGCCTACCACTTCTTAATGGTTTATTGTGCACCGGGAACTAGGTTAAGTACCTGGCGTTACTTTGATTCATTTGGTACATGGAAGTAAAGTAGATGTTAGCCTCCACATTCTAAGTGGGGAAACTGAGACTTTGAGAAGTCACTTTCACATGGGGAGAAAATGAAGAAGCCAGATGCTGACCACTGGGCCCCTCTCGTTAGCAGGCTACCCTCAAAAACATGTATGTGGCGGGTTTGATGGGAACATGTAGTGTAACGTAAAGCACTGGGCAGCTCCATCACTGAAAATTAGCTACAATTCAGATACCAGGTTCTCCCTCTACCTGGGAGATGCCAGTGTCCATACGTGTGCATACGAGGGGACACAGGGACTAACACATGCCCCTGTCACACCTCAAGGAAGGTAGCAAGTCCTTTTCTCTCCTCCCTGAAATGTTCTGACCCATCTTTTGTAATTATCCTTCTAAAATGAATGTGGCAGCAGAGAAACAAAGAAAATAACTACACAAGCTATATGATAATTGCCATATTTCCTAGTTAAGTAAAAGATTGTCACACCTCACATTCAAGACTGAGTTGAATAAGTATCCTGGTTAGAATTTTCTGCCCTGAGTCAAAGGCCTTCCAGTATAGGGCCAGCCCCAGTGGCCTAGTGGTTAAGTTCGACGCACTCTGCCTCAGTGGCCTGGGTTCGGTTCCCAGGCACAGACCTACACCACTCATCTCTCAGTGGCCATGGTGTGGTGGCGGCTCACATGCAAAGTAGAGGAAGATTGGCAATAGATATTAGCTCAGGGTGAATCTTCCTCAGCACACACACACACAAAAGAAACCCTTCTAGTATATACCTATTCTTTGAAAGAGAACAAAAGTCTGTATATATACTTGGATTTGTTTTCTGTTTGCTTATGATTAGTATTGCAGTTTCCAATGGAAGTATCTTGTGTTCAGTAGTTTCTTTGTGCTCTTCAGTGCTAACACCCACAAGGAATAGGTATCCAGTAATTTAATATGATAACTACTTACTGCAAGTTAAGAAAACTCCCATAGCTGCCTATACCTTGGAGCCCATCTTTAGGCTCTCCGCCATGTTCTCTTCCTAAAATGGGGAAGATGGGGATCCAGCTTCAGTTGAGACTTTTTCCATATCCTAAACCTACATGCAGAATGCTAAACATTGCTAAGTGCTCTGTTAAATTACAAATCTCTTGCCTGGCTCTACAACTGAACAAGGAATGTTCCAGAGGCCTTCAGTGTTGACTTTAGCTTATTGTAATTTTCCAACAGTGATGCAAGCTTTTACGCAAAGGTCAATAGGGCCAGAATTGGGAGCCATTTTGTTGAGGAAACTGGAAATCCTCACCCTTTTAAAAACTAAGTTACGCTGACTAATATCACGTGATTTCTCAAATTTAAGGTCACATTTTCTGCCTCCCTCAGACTAATGTCACTTCTCCATGCTGAGAACGAGAGCGGCATTTGGCATTTGTTTATCCCAAACCCAAATAGCTGACCCTATGTTTTTAGTACTTTGCCATTTTGCTTTCGCTTTTTTAATTTGCTTGTGACTCTGCTTGCCCCATCTTTTTTTTTTTGGTACAATGATTCTTACCTTGTCTTTCCCCAGTCCGTTTCTGACCTGGAGAGACGTGCAGCATGTTATTGTCAGGACTTCCCGTGCAGGACATTTGAACGCTAATGACTGGAAAACCAATGCTGCTGGTTTTAAGGGTGAGAACTTCTTTCATATTCTGTCACAGGCAAAATATTTTTATTTTTCCCCCATTTTAAATGGAGAGCAGGAAATAGAACCCCTCAAGAGAAACTTGAGATTTTGTGCTGACACACGAAGAGCTTGATCTTTTAGTAAATAAAAGGCAGAATCTTTTTTTTTTTTTAATTAAAACAATACATATAAGGCAGCTTTCCTTGGCTTCCCACATCATAGGTCAATTTCTTAAAGGGTAACCAAGCTCCAAGAATAGCCGACCTGTGGGCCTCCTCGTTAGTTTACTGTATGCTGTCGTTGATTATCTGAGTGGTATTTGTAACAATGCATTTAAAAATTCCTCACTTTCTATAGTGACTCCTTCCACTTAAATAATTGGGATATCTTTTTCACTTGAGTGTAGCACTGTTGGTTGCTAGGCCACGCTTTCTATACATTTTAGTTTTGTGGTTGTTTTTTTCTTAACTTCCACAAACAGAAAAACAGGCATGATTCTACATTACTTTATACAAACTAAATGTTCTTATGAAGCTTTATAATGTGCAGTCTTTATGCCATTGTGCACAGTATATAGTCATTGCTGAGTCTGTTTCTCTTGGCTGAGAGAGATTCTGGTTCCCTCAGACTGTCTTACGGTAGCCATTTTGTTTGTTGCCATCCATAATGTATGTTATAATAAAAAGAAAAGAATTATATCAAGCAGATGTCCTAAAGTTTAGTATATTTACTCAGGTTTCAGATGTCTATTAATTTAAGTTACAACTAAGATTACTTTTTTGTCATATCTGCAGACTTAAATTTACTCCCAAATAATCTTGGTATCGTTATATATCCCTATGGATGAAAACCAGTATCCCATAGCCTAGGGAATATCAACTTAAAAATTGAGGTTCTGGTCCTCAGATCATTGGTAACATGCTGAATGATCCTAGGCAAGTCATTCAATTTTTCTGGGCCCTAACTTCCCCAACTTAAACATTTTAGAAGATGAATAATATTATCCACATAGAATATCTTACATATGATTTTAATATATCCTTAGTAAATTATATCCAATGTATGTAAATATTCAGATGGGAAATGTAAAATATAATATAAAAAATTATTTGCAAATAGCTTATTATAGTCTCATGCTTAGCCAAAAGCTGTAAATATACTCTGTAACCAGCGCTGTATAAAATAGTTCTTTGATTAACATCTTCACTAAAGACTTGATTCCATTTTTAGCAAAAGAATAATATCCCTCTGCTTTTGAGTATTATCACACGCCTTTCTATGCAGGTAAACTATGTAATGCGGCAGCGTTCAGTAAGTTTTAATCTAAAGGGTTGTAAATACCTGTTGGGATCACATTTTCTGAAGCCCAGATCCAGACATTTGGTCCCAAAATAGCAACTGTTATGTGTGACATCAAAAATACTTGAAATTTCAGTTGTTCTAGAAAATCCAGGAGATAATTTGCCATATGTATGTTTCATTTTGATTAGTTTCCACATGCTCCCAGCTCCTCCTATACAAACCCATGAGGCTTTGGGGTTTGGGGTGGAGGGAAGAAGGGAACAAAACATAACCTTGGCCGCTTCGATGCTGCAGTGAACTTCTTAGTAGAATGTTCACAGACTAAGTACATTGACCTCCATGAAGCTGAGGAATCCACTTTAACCCAAATAAAAGTCTTAGTTTTACTTATTCCTTTTTGGCAGCTTAAAAAGAGCAAATGGTTCTAATAAAAAATGCAACTCTTTTGAAAACCTCTGTTGGTTTTGGAGAGGGAGAAACAGAAGATTTAGACTAAATCACCAGATCCAAACCTGAGTCCAAAGGGGACTGTGCACTGCTTCTGGCAAGCAGGAAAGAGCGTTTTACTATTGCACGTGGCAATATTTAGTATAATATTTCACTCTTCTCTTAGATTGCTGCCAAGAGTAACAATTAAAGTTCACTTTTTCATAGATGAATTACCCTGAACGGTCTGGACTCCCCGTGGAATTGTTTTGTAATTTTGTTGATGGCAAGCCCCATATTTCATCTAAACATGATCATAATAAGAAGAATTTTTTAAGAAAGAGTTTTCTTCCCTACTCTAAGCATTACCATCCCCTCCCCAGCGTCCCACAAATAAAAGTGATTAAGGCAGAGGCGAGCAGGAGGAGCGACGTGCTCGGGGGAAGGAGAGAAAGCAGGTCACTGGGACTGGAGAAAGATGGGCTGACTTTTTATTAAATAAGAACTGAACGAACGAAAAATAGCTAATGTTTGGAAGAGGTTCATGCAATGAGAGCTCAGCGAGAGCTCGTATTTTAAATTAGGTCAGCCAGCTTTTGCAGGCCTTGCTTAGCGGGAACACATGGCCAAACGTTTCTCCTTAGACAGGAGAAAACGGAAGTTGCCTGCAAACAGAAGCATGTAGCTCTGGGTGCTCTCTCTTCCCAGGCACCTTGGTCCTAATGCTGAGTGAGATGGATGCATGAAACGAATCTGAAAACACCTGTACTTTCCTGGGCTTGCTTTTGTGCCCTGATGTTGAGCAATGTGACTTGTTTGAAGAGTGGTTTTTAAAAAAAACAAAAAATGAGACTAATTTCACAGATTGCTTAGTACGTACTCTTCTGCGGTGGGGATGTCAGTATCAGTGTCAGAATTTCCTTCCCATCAGGGAAAGCAGAAGCAGCTCGGAGTAGCAACCCATTTGATTTTGAGATCTCCCCATCAATAGACTCAAGAATCTTAGTTATCACTGATAACTTCAGAGAAGACAGCACCTTAAAGAACAGTCTGTCACCAAACCCTGCCAAGTCCATTTCACACAACATTCTTACGTTTCTCCAGACATACCTATATATAGTACATCCTAGGCATAGCAGAGAGCCAGATAAGGTATAAACTAGACTGGGGTGCGCCTGTCTCCAAGGCAGACTTGACCACTCTTACCCACGTGTGTTGTGGACTGGAAAATGGAAGAGATTCTCTCCAGAAGCAGTTGCTGGCTTCTTGTTGACTGGCATGGACAGGCTCTCATTCAGGCAAGGAGGCTGGCCTGGAAAAACTAAAGAATGTGGCTCTCTACTGACTCATCTCTATGTTTCTCTGAGAGTAGGATTACCCAGGAGTTGCATGCTAATGAGCTGGGTGCAGAGAACTTTCTTCTTTCCCTGCTCTCCTTATAGTGGAACTCTATAAACCATCTTGTAGTGTGATCAGCTCACAGTGAAGGGGGCCCCAAAGCTAATAGTTCCTTAATTTTTATGCTAATAGTACCTTAATTTTTAACAACTCTGAACTAAGATTATTCTGTCCGGCTGCTTCTTAAATAATAATAATAATAGTCTCTTATAGTATACTAAAAATGTCTTTTGCAGAAGGTTCATTTTTCAAAATAAACGTAGTCCAATGAATACATACCTATGCAAACTAACTAGACGTTATTTTGGTTGTCCTTTGTGTAAATAATCCTAGCTAAATTTTAGATGACACGTTTTGACTTTAAACTGCAAGAGATGGTTTCTTTAAAAATAAATAGAATAAATATCACGCATCTATCAAAGAATCTACTTAAGTTTATGCATGAGAATCGGAAAGTATTTGTATGAGACCAGACAAACAGATGTAGTATTTGCCTCTAGAGAACTGAAATCCAAATTCCAATATTTTGCTGCTGACCAACATTTGCAATGCTTGGAGATGACTTTGGCGTTAAATTATTTGGGTTGTTAGTGTTATTTCCTTCTCCTTTGATCCCTGCCCTTACCTCTTATGAAGTCTTTTCTATTTTTTCCTTTTCTCATCTTTTTAATACTCCCTCATGCTCCTAGAAATGTACAAGTCAGCTGTAGAACTGAGGGTTTTTGCCATCTGGGTGGTTTTATTCACAGAATTTAATTTATGCGGTCTCTTCATTTGTTTATTCACAAATATTTCCTGAGCACCTTCAGCATGCCAGCCCAATAGATGTTGAAGGGCACCCAAAAAGTGGAAGTGGAAGGAAATGTCAGGGACCCCATGGTCTTGCCTCGTTGGATCTGGCTGTGGTATGATTTACGTACAAAACAGAAATTTACACTGCCCTTTTTTTCCCTTCAGTCAAGCGTAAACCATCTGCTAGGTCACGTTTATAAAAGTGTTGATGATATTGCTCTCATCATCTAAAATGCAGCCTACCCTCAGCAGCAGAAGGCATCTAGGGAGAGACTATCTGTTGTGGTGTGCGATGTGTATTTTGAGCAGCTCTGTGTGTGCATATAGGATATGTGGACCACAGAGCCATGCTCAGGACTGTAATTCTGCATTCTTCTAGAATTGATGGCTCAGATCATTTCAGGAAGAAATTAGCTCTTTATCATCCCCTCCCATCTCCTGCTTTAATCTGAGGAACGTGCAGATCCACCCCCTCTCTCCCCAGTCACCTGGGCTGTGCCTGCTGCTTCTTTCCCTCCAGCCCTTCTCTCTGGTTTGTGGATGCAGCTACAAGTATAATTGAATGCATGCAACATCAGTGCTTCAGTTTTTTTCAAAGTGTCTGTATTTGGATGATATGACTGTCTACAGTTAAACTCTCTTAAATCTAGGAACAGGAATAGACATCAGATAATAAATTAGGACCTTCTGTCATCTTTACTAGGCGAAAGAATGAAAAAAATGTCATTGAAAATCAAAAATGACAACTAAGTGAGCGAGGTTACCACGCCTTCCATTTCACTGCCCTCCCAGACTATGTAAGTCTCTTTTTTTCTATCAGCATGTTGCTGAAACCTCCCCATCCCCACTGACTCTTTCTTTGACCACAACTAAACTACTAGATTTTTTTTTTTTTTAATTTCTAACTGATTTCCCACCATGGGGAAAACAATTGACAGTCTAACATGACTTCTTAGTCTCCAAGGCCTTAACTTTTAATAACCTTTATTACTTTTAATTGCCATCATTTTATTTCCACTGGTAGGGCTGGTAATTTTAAGATGTTCCAATATATTTTTAATACCTACCTGTCTTGCTTTCAGTTTGT